CTATTGTTAGTAATATTTGAGGGTCAAAGAAGCACATCAGGCGCTCGGGAACCCTACGAACGCGCGGGTGAGGTAACCAGATATCTACCCGAGGGACTGTAAATGCCAAGGCTATGGACTGTGAATTTCGCCAGCGGAAATCGCGTCGTGACGCGATTTGGCGCGGGCGCGCGCCAAAATCGACCCCCTCCTCAGCTAGGTTCGGGTCGGGAAATTCACAGTCCCAACCGCGGCATCACAGTCCACTCGGCACCCAGATCTGTGGCTTGCCCCGAGCTTTAGCTGACCTACTTGCTTGCTCCTGGTATTTATTCCTTACTTAGCTGCACTGTACCGTAGCTGCACATGTACTATAGTTCAAATAAATTTTATTCCGAATTTTCTACCCTACCGTACCCTCATGGAGGAGGCTGCATCTGCCCGCCTCCCGAGCTTGACTTGCAGCGGTGGCGGGAGTTGCTTATGTAATCCGATTAAGACCGTAAACTTTCCTATGATCAGATTCACTTCGCAGCCGGCGCGACTTGTAGTCCGACTACAACATTTCTAATGACACTATAAAGCTGGTTGTATTGGACTACCAGGGTTCTTACTCGACTACGAAAGGCGCATTCGGCAGACTTAGGCAGGGTTCGGCGGACGTCGGCAGCAACGGCAGGGCTGCGGCAGGAAGATAACGACGCGTATACTGGATTCCCACGCCAAATGCACCAGCCTCTACAACATAGATTCTGCCTCAATCTGTTGTAGAGGGTGGTTACGAGCCTAGACTGCTCAGCATACTCGGTGACTGCGAAAGGCGTCTCGTACATATGGCACCATTGAATGACCTTCATCCAGCCTCGGTAACTGATCAGCCCTGCGTTCGGAACTATAGAGCGTCTGGGACGCCTGTCGAAGAAATAACTGTTGGATCCCAGTTTTCTGCTTCTCCCAAGTGATGCGCTTGAAAGGTGCTGACACCCATGAAGATCGGACTTGTGTATGTATTGGTAAACTGGAGCACCACTCCGGGCGGATCTGGCGATCAAACTTTTCGGGTGACTCTTCAACGCCTTCTTGACGATATCTCTGGTAGCCACACCAAAGAGGGTCATACTGATGTCAGTATAGGGAGTAAGAGGGCTAGCTCAGAAAATCTGCAGATACCTGACTCTCAATGCGGAGCGATAACCATACAGGTCGGTTCAACCGCACAGACGAATTCATCAGACTCGCCTCCGGGCCGATCAGTCTCCTCTTCGAGACGCTTAGCCCGGGCACGATATATGACGAAGTAATCCATTCTTCGCAAAGATCGATGAAAGAGATATCTCTCGGATAGGGCAAGGGCCAAGAAACGTTGGAAGAACGCGCAGCAACATCTCTCGAGGCTTACGCTTGTACGGCAAGTGGTTCGGGAATCGCCGTGCTAATGAGTCCCGACGCGTCCACGCGTTATTTGCGTTTGTTTATCTGCCTACGTACCTTTCTTACTTGCTTGCTTCTTGGGAGACGTATCAGGCCCTCCGGTTATGACCAGGATAAAATGGCAGGCTTGGCTGCCCGCGGGCAGGAAATTGGGATATGGGGTTCTCATTGTTCGCGAGTCTCGTCCTACATTTTAGCCTAACTCAGAATTGAGCTCTCGGTATAGTTCATTAATATTGCATGCGCGACGCATCTATTTCAACGATATATTGGGGGGATCAGGCATGTACGTGTCACGAAGCGATGCAGCCGCCCATAAGTGCTAATACACATTCTAGGCTTATGGTCCGTCCATGTTGCCTACGCTCGCGGTGCAAGGGGAGCTACTTGTTGAAAACAGTCTTGGTTACCGCCTGAATCCGAAAAGCATCGCTCGTGGAGATCTCGTGACTTATACCTCGCCCATCGATCCAGGACGTATAGTGTGTAAACGCGTCGTCGGTCTTCCTGGGGATATCGTATGCGTTGACCCCACCGGAGAGAAAGCGCCCTCGACGGAGCATGTTGTGGTACCGAAGGGGCATTACTGGCTGTCGGGAGATAACGCTGCTGCATCCAGAGATTCGAGGGATTACGGTCCTGTGTCTAGTGCGCTGATACGTGGGAAGCTGGTAGCCAGGGTACGTTTGTATATCACATTGCTTGGTGCGCTCTATCACCAACCTCTTTCAAGGTATGGCCATTGCGATCATGGACTATATTCCGTAATCCCTTCGCCATCATCGACTAAAGCTCGCGTGGAATGCACCTCTGTCCTCATATCAGTTCCCCAGAACGCTATGACGGCTGGCTCAATCGACATGGTATCATATCTGAGCGGGTCCCAGTTGGTTTCTCACGGACAAGTGTTCATAATCATCAGATCTCAGAGTGTGGTAAGTACTAGGCCAGACCAGCGATACTTCAATGCGTTATGAGGATCAACCTAGCCATTCCTCGTGAAAGCAGTTTATTATACAAGATGAAAGCGTCTCTGAGCCTTCCTCGTGGCCTCGCATGGGATGCTTAACGGCGGGACTCATCTCACGAAATTCATGGAGTAACCACCCTGCCCGTTTGGCTCGAACTTGAAGTTGTCTGTAGAAAGACCGAAGTGCCCTTGGAGAATGCGTCAGTATGCGGTGTGGATATCTGTATAATGGATTCGGATTGATTCACCTAGGACACTATTGCCGAGCCCTTTGAGCTTATCCATCATCTCCGCCATCTCGGCCTTCTGTGCTGCTTCAATCCGAGGTTTGATACTCTGTAGAGCTCGACGCATCTCCCCGATTTCATGCGACGAAGGAGGCAACACACTTAAGAGCGCAGTGTAATCTGAGGCAGCTCAATTGAGACACTGTTCAGAGGGTAATGCGAAACTCGTTACCTTCTTGTGCACTTGTTAGTGACGACCATGTACCAATCTTCTGGTTGCAAGCAGCGCGCCTTTGCAAAGCTTTGACGTAGCCAGGGTCATCCAGCAATGCTGAACAAACGTCAGTACGTTCGGGTCGTCCGTCCGTGACTGGAGCACACCTTCAGTACAAGCCGCGACAGCCTCCTTATACTCTTCCTGTCACGACTGAATGTAAGCTATGAACGGTCTGGATAAATGCATACGCACCAATTTCATGTGACATGCGCCTATGTTCGCACTCAGAACAGCTCGAACCTTGGCACATTCCTTCTCCACTTCAGTGAGGGGAGGTTGCGGCTCCTGCCCATCCTCGTTGCCCGTGGCTAATGGGCGATCATCCCCCTGGTCGTCGTCCTCGTCCAAACCACTTGTCAAGTCTCTCTCCCGCTCCTTCCCCTTTTTGGACGTCAGGTTCTTCTTGCGTCGTGGTAATCGTCCCAGCCCAGTTCGGTAAGCATTCAGTGCCTCGGTCCATTTTCCAGCTCGGAAGTAGTCATTGCCCTCGAGTTTCAATTCCTCGGCTTCTTGGAGAGATTGCTTGTCGGTCCGTCAGTCATTGGAGGTACAACAGGACACGATATCGATTGCTACCTGGATAGCTTTCTCATCCTCAACCTTTCTGTCCGGTTCGGTGACATCGCAAGGCCCTCCAGAGAGTTCAGAACCGTCAGGATCGGATTGGACCAAGTGATTGTTCTCTGTCATCTTGCCCGAGCAGGTCGGGCCGGCCTGCTTCCAGTGTAGTACAGTATGTACTGACGCGCCAGCGCGTGAAGTGAATGAAGTCATAGATCCGCGTATTACTTGGTATCTGATTACACATCCTGATCTCAAACTTAGCTGCAGAACGCATTCGACATATACTTAGGTAACCAAACGCTCCAGTTCAAGGTGCTTCACAGTCTTTCGCCCCGTAGTATCATGCCTAACATTGGTGACAGTAAATGCATCCTCGTCGTCGGCGCGACCGCCGGCATAGGCAGGGCCCTGGCTAAGAGCCTCAAGGCCCTCCCATCCAAGCCCAAGGTCATTGTCACCGGTCGTCGACAAGAGAGATTAAATGAGCTGGCAAAAGAGGGATTCGAGACTGCCATGGTCAATATCGACACCGATCGGGCTGGCCTCAAGCAGTTCGTCGACTCCATTGTCAGCAAATACCCAGAGGTGTGTCAAATCCCGCTGCCCCCCTGTGACTGGATGTCTCACAACACGCCCCAATGCCAGGTCGATGCAGTCATTTTCTCGGCCGGTATTCAGCACGAGTTCGATTTCACCAAGCCCGAAACGGTCGATCTGGACAGTGCGTACATTCCTCCTGTTACACTGTAACCAACTAATTTCCATAGAACTCGTGAGCGAACTAAACACTAACTACACCGCCATCGTTACGATGATAACGTACTTCCTGCCCCATTTCCTCAAAGTCGCAGTGAGTCTCCCTGTCCTTTCCGAGGAAATTGTACCCTGATCTTCCCCTGCCAGTCCAAGGGCCAGCCATGCTTTATCGTCCCAATCACATCCGGCCTCGGAATAGTGCCTGGACCTTGGGTTCCATGCTACTCTGCAACCAAGGCTGCTCTGCATAGTTACAGCATCTCTCTGAATGAGCAGCTTAGGGGAACTGGCGTCCATGTCATGGAGATCATGCCACCGTGAGTCCCACCTTTATACTTGAGTTAGGCAGTAGCTGAACCCGCCCCAGGCTGGTGGAGTCTGAGCTTCATGACCGTACGTTTCCGTTTCCGTACAAACTCTGGCAGTTGGGCTCCTGATCTAATTCATAAGCAGATCAAGGCAAGACTCCAGTTCTTTCCAAAGTTTGGATGCCTCTGGATGAGTACACTAAGCATGAAGTGGATGGCCTCTTGCGCGGCGATACTTTCATCCCCATCGGCCAGACTGCGGATAACTTCGAGAAATTCGAAAAGGGCAAGGATGAGATAGCTCGGGGATCCTTCAAATTCATCCAAAGCTTGAATTCGTCTTAAAGATGCGGTACATGGTCTGTATACCCTGGATATCTCTGTCGCACGTATCGTGACTTTACCTGACGTTCTCTCCATAGAGACAATCTCCTGCCATTACCATATCCAAGAGTGATATGCGTCGTAGGATAGCATAGAGTACTGGTCGGTGTAGGATGCCCAATCAAAAATTGATAGGATTATTATGGTTACCGAGATGCATGCCATGATGCGCCGGCGCTCAAGCGCTCACCGGTGCACCTGCCGTGAGCATATACCATGTTTCGTTGACAATGACTCCTACGATTCTGCTCCATATCTCGGGCGGCGCTCGGTTTAGTCCCGCACTAACTCCATTACAACAAACAACAAACCATTCGCGGAATGCCAATCGAGAACGAGAGAAACTGGGATACAGATATGGTAGATATGGTACGACATGGTGCTGAAGGAACGTCACGGGCGTACTTCGCGGGTGGAGACAGTACCATAGGATTTGTAGACCGTGATAGGTGGGATTAAGCATGGGTAGCAGGCTTGCTGGAGGTCACTCGAGAGCGAAGCTCCCAGGGCTTCTCGAACTTGCGGCCGGGCATTCGCCTGTGGACTTGACGTATAAATGGTCGTAGAGTCCATGTCCTCCTGGACGCTACTTCAAAGCATTTCCTTATCGCCGTCCGGAGTGCCGCAGTCATGTCCGCCACGCCAGGGATTGCCGATAGCAAGTGCGTGCTGGTGATCGGGGCAACCGCAGGTATAGGAAGGGCCTTGGCCGCTAGCATCCACTCGTTGCCCTCGAAACCTACCGTGGTCGTATCTGGTCGACGCCAGCAACGTCTCGACGAGCTGTGCAAGACAGGTCTGGAGACTATCCAATTCGACGCGAACACCGATGCAAAGAGCTTGAAAGCGTTCGTAGATGACCTCCTGGAGCGATATCCACAGGTACGAGGGCCTTGCGCTGCACTTAATAAGTGTTGATGAAATGCGCATCCTAGTTGGACACCATAGTGTTCTCCGCCGCAGTGCAACAGGAGTTCGATTTCGCCAAACCGGAGACCATAGACTTGAAGAGTAAGACTGTGTCTTCCAAAATTGCTGCTGCTACTCACCTGATGGCTACCCAGAATTCTATAGCGAATTGAATCTGAACTACGTTATGATAGTGACATTAATCACGTACTTGCTTCCGCATTTCTTCAAGCTTGGGGTAAGCTGGCTCCTCTCCTTGGTCTGTCTCAAGACACTGATGCTCTAGCAGGAACAGGGTCAGCCCTGTTTTATCGTTCCAATCACGTCGAATCTAGGCATTGCGCCCGGCGCGTGGACCCCTTGCTACTCTGCAACCAAGGCTGCTTTGCATAGTCTGAGTCTGTCTCTCAACGAGCAGCTGAAGGATACCAATGTCCACATAATGGAAATAATGCCTCCGTGCGTTTCTGTGCATTGGCTTACCGTCATCTCCCGAGCTAACAACACCGAGAATAGCCTTGTTGAATCAGAGCTGCACGACAGTAAGTCTCCTTGGATTCTTTGACTCGGATGCGAATACTGATCCCATCGTTACCCTGGGCAGCCGCCGGAAATACAGGGAAAGTGGCCAAATATTGGATGCCGCTTGAGATGTTCGTGCACGATGTCATGGAGGGTCTGAAGAGAGGGGACAGGACAATCGCCGTCGGCCTCTCTAGGGAGCAATATGAAAGATTTGAAAAGGGCAAGGAAGACGTCGTACACCAGACCATGGAAGTGTGGAAGACATGGTAGCAAATGTAGTACAGGCTTGCATTGTCCGACACGTCCGAAATCCTCCTTTCACGTGACGAGTGTAAGATAATTTGCCCCAAACCGGTCTATCAACTCCTATCGAGTCAAACAGAGTCGCGATTTTAAGTGATTCCGGGCTACTCTAGTCATCGTTCATCTTCCCACTTGCCATCATGTCCAAGCCGGCGTTCTGGTTACGTTGCGAAAAGAAGGAGTTCGAAAGACGAGCGGCGCTGACGCCTACCACCGCCAAGAAGCTAATAGATGCGGGTTTCGAGATCATAGTCGAGCGGGACGAGCAGAGGATCTTCGACGATTCGGAGTACGAAGCGTGAGTCTGAAGACGCAGGCATCGCACATTGTATCCTGAGTCGGAGATCATACGTAGAGTGGGCTGCAAACTAGTCGAGAACAACTCATGGCCCAGTGCTCCTACATCCATCCCCATCATTGGCCTCAAGGAGCTCCCGGCGTCCTCTGACCCTATTGCCCAGACGCACATCCAATTCGCACATTGCTATAAGAACCAAGCGGGTTGGTCACAAGTCCTGGCGCGTTTTCACAAAGGTGGAGGGACGTTGTACGATCTCGAGTTCCTTCAGGACGAGCAGGGTAGGCGCGTCGCCGCATTCGGGTTCCATGCGGGGTTTGCAGGTGCTGCCGCAGGTGCCTTGGCAGTTGCTGCACGCAGGCAGAGCAAGAACCTGGGACAATTAGAGCCATACGCGAACGAGGGTGAGATGGTGAAAGACGTGAAGGAGAAACTGGGCGGCAGTGGGAAGGGTGTTAGGGCCCTTGTTATTGGCGCGTTGGGTAGATGTGGGCGAGGGGCCGTGGATTTGCTTAGGAAGATTGGCTTGGCAGAGTGAGTCCATCCCGACAGATCCTGATTGTCACAAACCTGATCGTCGACAGGGACGACATCCTCAAATGGGACATGGCAGAGACAGCTAAGGGTGGTCCTTTCAGCGAAATTCTGGACGTTGATATATTCGTCAACTGCATCTATCTGTCGTCCTCGATCCCTCCGTTCTTGACCGCGGACCAAATTCGGGCTGCGGGTAAACAGAGGCGGTTGAGTGTCGTCGTAGACGTTAGCTGCGACACCACCAATCCTTTCAACCCCATACCAATATACAATATCAACACAACTTTCTCGGAGCCGACGGTCCCGGTCGATGTTGGGTATGTCATCGCAACGGCTCACCGCGGTTATAACTGATTCTCATCCGATTTGTAGACCTGAAAATCCCCCGTTGTCCGTTATCTCGATTGACCACTTACCGACACTGCTGCCCCGAGAGGCTTCGGAACAGTTCAGCAGCGACTTGCTGCCATCTCTGTTAGAGTTCCCCAATAGGAAGACAGCGCGAGTGTGGGTCGAGGCAGAAGAGCTGTTCAAGCGCAAGCTGGCCGAGGCCGTCAAAGCAGAAGGACTTTAAGCAGCGAGTGCTCTGTCGCGAAAAGACGAGAACTGCCTAGAGTTCCGTCACCCTGATAGTACAGAATCGTAGTGTAATGAATCAGAAACATCGTACTATGATAGAATCGCTTTGTGATATGATGTACTGGTAGCAACCGCGCACGGACGCAAAAATACGATCAGCGTGCGAGGTCGTCGCCAAGGAGGGAGTTGGAGGTGTACGGAGGCCGGCTTGGGCATATGTGTCTCGCGATTGACTGCGCAGAGAACGCAGCGACGGCCATGCCATGATCTCTGGCAGGAACACGCAGACCGGCTGGAACTACTGCCAGAGCAGGGAAAGATGCAGCAGCGGGAGCCAGAGCCAAGATACGCAGTCGGTGTCAGTGATAAATATACAAGGCCGAGGTTACGGTTGTAGCCAAGTACCATCGCTGTTTGTATGTAATTAGCAGCCGTCAAAGCAGCGTGGCGGCAGCCTCTTTCTTTTCTCCAGTCCTCTTCCTCCTCTGCTGTGGGTTTCTGGTCTCTCTTTCTTTCTTTATTCGGGCCCGACTACGACTTGTGCAATTTACTTTCCAAATTACACCGGTGCTGGTCGCCCTCCTAATCCCCTCCGTAATAATATCCGCAGCAAACCTCTTCTCGTCAATCGTCCTTCTAGATCATGGAATACCCAGTCTCCCCGGTCCCCGAAATCCACATCTCCTTTGCTCCCCCCGATGAGCCTCGCAAGGAGCCCTATTCTCCCTTCGCGTCGTTGAGTCCTCTTACGCAGGATGACGACGATGGTTACAGGCCCACCCTTTTGTCACCACCCTGCACGGCGTCTCCCAAGGTGCATAGACAGTTGTCGCCCCTGCGTCCTGCAGATGCGCCTGTCGGGAAGGGCCTTGACCGCGACCGCTTCGAGGCGCTCCTGAGGTCCTCACGCGAGCGTAATACCGCCGTGGGCGCCAAGAAATCCCTTGATTTGCGCAAGGAGATAGCTTTGAAGGCTCACAAGAGCAAGCAAAGTACGCCCATACCTATGATCTCCTGATATGTCTGTTGACTATCTGCTGCAGTGGAGAGGCGCGCAGTCTTTCTCTCGAAGATCCAAGCTCCCCCGTCTCCTACCGCCACGGGTCTGCCCAAGACCCCGCCGGAGTCGCCGGCCATTTTCCACTACACCTTACCGTCCCCGGGGCTTGTGTCTCCGTTGGCCGTCTTCGAGTCCATTCAAGAGAACCCATCCGGGTTCCCCGCCAGGGAGCCTTGGGTCGAGCAAGTCGACTTCCGTTTGCCCAAGGAGTACGCCACTCAGGTCAAGAAGCCTATGTCCCCTTCGTTTGCCAAGCCATTGCCGTCTCTGGACCAGATCACCGCTCATCTGAGCTCCCATGGCCATGTCGCTCCCCAGCGTGAACCCCGTGCGACTCGCCGATCGCCGATCCCTCTGCCTGACTTCTTGCGCGGCCGCGTGAATAGACAGAAGTCGCCTGCTCGTGCAGAGGCTCCGGCGCCGAAGCCCCGGCGCAACCTTCCTATCGGTGTCGGTAGACTTCAGTTCCCCGCTCGCAACACTGTTCCTGCGGTGCCTGAGCCCGTCTCGCCTCAGCCGCAGCACTTGCACCAGCTGCCGCCTAGGTCTCCGGGAGCACCGTTGACCCCGAAGATTACAATTACGACGACGGTAGTCCCTCGAACGTCGACCACGTCCCCGGTTGACTTGACTGAGTCTAACCTCCAGGCTCTCACCGCTCGCGCTCGCAAGGCAAGTGACATGCTGTCGACCCTGCGGCGCCGCACGGTCGAACTGCACTTGGATGCCCACTCGCTGCAGGGCCTGAACGGTCGCGATGTGGAGGACGATAGGAAGTCGGGGAGGCGGCACAGCGCGCCCGCCGAGTTGGTCCAAAGGCGAAGAGAAGGTTTCATGCACCCCGTCTTGGATTTGCCCGGCGGGTTCTAAGGACTCTCCGCTTCTCTTATAATCTTGCAAATGACAATGAACCAAAGGATTCTCGGGATGCCCATGTATCTTTATTCTTCGATTGACCCTTTTTACCCCTTTATACTCTTATTCCTTTCTTCGCTGCGGGTGTTTGTACTTTGCCGGAGGTGGAAGGGGGAAGAGAAGGAGACTCCAATGTGTTTGTAGGACTAGCTGATTTCTTCAGGCTGCGCCTACCTTTTCATGTTCCTTGCAGTACCTCTCACTCATTACCCACTAGCTCGAGGATACGGGCTGTGCCCCAATCTTCACCCCCACGGAATATCGTGCCGGCATCACTACGATGTACACATTCGTGTAGTAGATATCATCAGACTGGTTCTTGGTGTCGATATGCTGCCACAGAAGAAAATTAGGTCAAGCAAAATTAATATCGTCTAGTTTCGCCCGTCTTACACGTGCGTCGGCTTCATAGCGTCAGAATGGGTCTCAAATTCCAGTGCCAGGTTCTGCAAGCTCTACGTTCCTTTAGAATGTGGGTAGCGATACAAATGACCAGTTCCTGCTGTCGGAGAATTGTCCATATCCATTTTCTCAAAGTTGCCGAGAGATTAGTCCCATTGTGCTTGCTGCCACTGACCCGTGAAAGTGCGTGGTGGCTCAAAATCCTGTCCCTCTTCACCTTCGGCACCAGCACGATATCCTCCTTCTTCGGGCGGTGGTGAAGGAGTCGCGGACTTCCCTCGCAGCCTGGTAATAACACTGAGTCGACGTTCTGCAAGACTAACATTTTAGAGAATGCAATTTATATTACAACGGGTGTACTCACGTAGCTCTAGACGCATGTTTTCGTCGACGTATTCTTCGTCGGAGTCCATCAATGGGTCCGCCGTGTTCACTGAGAACCAGGCCTCTGCTTTGACGTCAGTCCGCAGACTATAACAACCCAAGTGACACGTACGCTGTAGCATGGAGCGTTCTGCATCCCCGAGCCCTCCGCTCCCTTGCGCAGGGGCTGTGGGGGCAGGGGCTGTCGGACATAAGATCAATCGCCTTAACACGAAAGGAGTGCACGGACCTCTAGGCTGAGGATTCCGAGGTTTGAGTTGTTCCCGCTCTTTGGGTACGTAGTGGTGAAACGTCTCTCCTCTACTACCTTGGTGCACGGGAGGATGTTGGGTTCGGTGCCTCCTAGGTGCAAGATCTAAAGGGAACTTCAGCTGACCACGCTTCGTCGTAAAACTATGCACGCACCCCTCTGGAGAGGCGGAGGGGCAGGCGAGGGGATGCTGCGTCTCTCATGCTCCGTCTGGTTCACGAGCTTCTGTAAGAATTGGCTCCTAAGCTGAGACATTTTTCTGCCCCATTCGATCTCGTCAGGGGGATCCATATTTTCCTCCTCCATTTCCCTGGGCGTGATATGACGAAGACGGGGGACCTTTCCCGGATGTTGTCGAGCGTACTCGTCGCAAAAGGGATTTGGTACATCTGTGCCTTCGAGATAGTGGAAGATGAGCCAAAGGAAAGCACGCGCGCGCGAAGCCGAGGACAATTCAACCGGCATGAAGAGATCCAGGAAGTCCGTGGGTGGGTCGAAGTGGGGCAGAGACTAGTGCCGAAAGTTAGATTAGACGCCAGAAGAAGGTTTCGCGGCTCTCACGGAGGCATGGTTCGCTAGGACAAAAATTAGATTAACTACACTAGTCGGAGGTTTCTGTCCAGATTGCTTTGGCCGGGAGATGAACAGAAGGTGCAGTGATGAGACGAGCTCCACTCACTACTTTTGTGATCACTTCAGCTGGAGTAGACGGCGGTCCGTTCTTGAATTCAGAGGGCAACAAAGCAGCCTTTAGACAGTTTTTGATACGGGGCGCATCCTGTGCATTGCCATCCGTTTTCTGTAATGAAGGGACCGGATGGTATGATCTAAGCGCTGTCTTCATTTCCGGGAAAACTAGGGCGGCAACAAACTATGAGCCGTGGAAAGACTCAAAAACTCAAGACACTGCGTACAGGCCATCGTTGTGTTGATTCTACCAACGTTGGTCAGGAGGCAAATCTTCGCAAATTCCAGTGCGAAAGGCGGCGTCTCGACCATCTTGTCCTTCAACACCTTTGAACACTTGCTAGAGTTGAAGAGCGCATTGACGTATAGATCGGCGAAGGTCACTTTGTTGGCCGCCTTCCCGGGTGATGGATCTGTGAAGACTCTCGCCGTGTCCGAAAATATATGGTGAAGAACAGCGAACTGGACGTCCTTTCGAGTAAGCGGTTCAGCATCGCCGCGCTTGATTGGTACGGTTTTCCGGTGGACATATTGCGAGCTGCTCATGCCGTCTTGAGTGGCCGGATCTTCAGATAAAAGCAAGCTAGAAGACTTACGCAGTTTCTGCTTGCGGAGGAGCCCATCCCTGGACATTGGGCTGTCTTGAAGGACCACCTTGATCGGGGTCCATGAGAGGAAAAGACGAGAATAGATACGGAAAACAAAGGAGCGATTAGGACACGCGGTGCCGGAATTGTAAGCCTCTTCACAGGAAGGGGGGAAGCAGAAATCTATACAGTTCTTTCACGTGCAGATGACTTGAAGAGGGCGGACCTATTCGCACGATTATCATCAGAAGGCTTGAGCAATCAGCTGGAGAGGTGTACAGCACATCCTAAAAGTACAGACGCCACATGAGTTGGCTGATAGACACACTGATCACGGTAGCCAGGTGGACAGATAAAATCCTCACCTTCCCTACTACACTCGACGGATTGGGGACAGCCCATCGCCACAAAAGAAAAATTAGCTGGCCGCGCGGAAAACAAAGGCAGGACAAAAGAGGTGCTTCGGCTTACCCACACTGTAGTGTAACTTGGCTAGGTTCTTTACGTATACTAATCCCAATTCGATCACTAGGGTCGTCCAAATTAGCAATTCGCGGATGCAAAAATCCTTGTGATTACCTAATACAGCGAACTTCTCAAGTCGTTAGAGTGCGCCGGCTTCGTGGCGAAGCAGTGGCAGTCTCTTGCACAATTGCCTCTATCAAAACCTCTCAGGATGTCCCAATTTAACGAAGAGACGCAGGTAAGTCGTGACACTGGCGTCTCCAAGTGCGACTGATGTAAGGGATGTCGAACAGAAGGAGATGCAGACGTTCATTGAGCAACTGCGAGCCTCGTCCCAGTTACAGCAGAATATTGCAAACTTCACCAACAAGTGCTGGGACAAGTACGTTAGCTCTCACATTCCCATGCTATTATGCATAACTCATCGCTCTCGGTAGGTGCGTCTCTGGGACACCATCGACCTCTTTCTCCAGTAGCGAACAAGGTTGCCTCGCCAACTGCGTGGAAAGGTTCTTGGACACAAGTGTGTTTATCGTGAAACGGATAGAGGAACAGAGAGCCAATCGCGGATTCACATGACGCTCCTATTACTTGGCCTTGAGCTGAGCACATTTTATAGGGACAGTCCAAATGCCAAATGTTTGCCGTGTACGTATACGAGTTCCGAGTCCATGCACAAAAACGGATACCTAAGCACGGTGTATAATGCCACATATTATACCTTTAATGGCATGGACAGAGATTGCAGCCCCAGAGCTTGCCCAGAACACAAAGACGTGACTATACAACATACTGTCTGAACTTCGTCCAAGTCCAGCCGAGCATAGCAGGTGTGAAGAAACAAAATGCATCCAGTATCTCGTGCTTGCTACGCAGTTGCAGAGGAATCTCAACAACATCTTCCGACGCAAAGGAGCCGGTGTCCAAATATTTGGCCATCAGCTGGTCTTTCTCCCGCCATATTCCCCGGAGCCACTCTTCGAATATGACCTTCTCTGCTTCAGGCACCTCAATTTCAACTGCACTAGTGGCAGAGCCGTTAGGCAAAACCGTCGGATTGGAAGAAGATAGATCTCCCAATGGCACGTCCGATGCTACGTTAAAGCGCCGGATGTGCATATGGATGGTCGGCGGGGGAATCCGGTCAAGGAATATCGACCGAAGGGTGTAATAGGACTGTCCGTAGCCAAATCGCGGTATCCCTTGGTAGGGTTAGCACGAATCAAGGATATATCACACGTACGCATACCTGGATATGCAACGGTAATATCCAAAAGTTGTAAGCTAGGGATGCGAGGGGCAAGGGATCGTAAACTATATTGAAGTCCTGTCGACCGAGGAAGTAACGTGTGCATCATGTCTGGCTTCAAAACAAAATCCTGTCAGTTGACGGAATGGATTGATGCTGGCGCCCTGATATGGCACGTACAACTCCTAACTTATCTGCGTATTTCTTGCTCACGGGCCTCGTGTCTGCACTGACCAAGGTGCCCTCGGGATAGAGCAGGAAAGACAAGGGCAAGTCCTGGATCTCTGCACGCCGACCCAATCGCGAAAGCTGAGCCGATAGATGCAATCTATCGGATGCCCATGACCGAGCTAGGAAGATGAAATCGAAGAATTGCATACCCTAGACCATGCCATGCGAGTGAGAGATTGCGAGACATTCCGTAGAGTGTGCCACGCACCCAGCCAACGACAGGTATCCACTTCAAACTCTTCTTTAGAACGATGAACACGTCTCTGTGGGTATTCATGAAATACATCAGACACCATGCATACCACCAGTCTGCGTAAATCTGCATAGAACTGTCAGATTACAGGCCTTGTCCACACGCACGACCCGCAAAGCATGTACCTGATGGTTAGCTATGAGTACAGACTTGTCCGGCAGGCGCAACTCGGTGACTCTGCCAGAGCGGTCCCGTACTACTATCCTTTCTAATTCTTCGTCAGCGAATCGCCCGTTCCCGTCCTTCTCGAAGGTAACGGCCAGCTGAGTCGGCGCAAACCACTGGCACATGAGGACTTCAGGCGGTCCTTCAGCTGCAGCGTATTACTTTGAAGACTAGACAGAGCTTGCTCACCGAGGAGTGTCCCAAACGAGCCTTTGGTATATCGAACCCCCACTTCGTAAAGTCTCCAGGCCACATCCAGTGGTATAAACCGTAAGGGCAACAGAAAGACAAACTGTGTGCCATTGATCATGATACACCCAACATTGAAGATTATGAAGAACAGTATTCCGTTGAGTACTTGGGCCCATGTCCTTGAAGGTCGCGAGGGGATAGGGAGTGCGTACACTGGCACGGGTGCCTCAGCCGCCATGATAACCAAAAGACGCCAAGAAACCCTCTGCACAAGCAAGATACAGAGAAGAGTATAATACAGTCCAAGGCGGATATGATACACAACAGAGTCGGCCTTGCGGACCAGTCTCAGAGGCCGCAGTAGTTAGCTAACCCGCCAGCACGCTTCTTTAGCGTTTCCCCTATATAGGGAAACATATAGTGCTTCCCGATCGCTGAGAACAGCTTTATCATATGCCACATTGCCAGTGTCAATTTCGAGCCGATCCGATACGCGTATGACATTCCGATTCCTCTAGAATCGGTTTACTGTTCAGTAGTTGTATAGGGCTCTCTGGCGATCGAGAAAGCGAGCGCTTAACAGGGGTTATACCACTTACGTCCCAAATTACTCGAAATGTAATAGGAGCACTATTCATAAATGGTAGGTGGCCCGATCCAAATCTTACCGCCACCAACAAATAGGAACTATTACCCCTTATGTCGGGGATTACTGTTTGTGTGATAGAAATTAATTCCAAATATGTAGGGTGGCACTGTCAGGCATTCCCCGGCTGCCTGTGGAATTGGGGGCGTTACTCACTCCCAGGCATGATATTGATATTGAGCGGAGTTTCAAATCTATAAGAGGCAAGTTCGCGTGGCTCGCGACAGATGCTTGGGGAACGCTGGGGCAGGGATATCTCGTCTAAGTCGTTACGGAGCTTCTAGAATCAATATTATAGTAGAAGTTAAATAATGTAAATTTCCTGAACTTGTGTCGGCGCGGGCGTATCAGCCATGGTATTGTGAGCGTGAGGCGGGAGTTGCCGAACCATTAGCACAGTTCAAACTCAGCTCAATATCATGAGTGACTTGTATACGGGGATTTCCTGCACAATAAAATCCAAAGATTTTGTTTGAGTACTCTAGCATGTTGTACCTATAGGATATACTAACCACAAAGCAGGCGCCATCTCATGGGGCATTGTGCACCCAGAGTTCCGGTCGCAGCCACCCTCGATATTGTGCGGGGTTCTAATCGTGGGAACCGCTCACTCTGCGTCTCGCGCAGGCGCACCATATACGACTTCAGCGTTTCAACTTGAGCGTGAACGACTACAAAATCCCCGGAGAGTAGTACTACTGTCATCAGAATGCCAATAGGTATTGTTTACTTGTAGCTACTTGAGACCTGCGGGTGCTAGTATCGTGAACCCGCCGGACACATTTACTTAGATACCCGGTCGAAGACCGGGAAGAAAAAATGAACTACACCTCAAAAATTGAAGGATCAGCACCCTAGGATACATCTCGTGCAACGTACGGGAGCAGCGAGAGGTTGTACAATGTATAACCTGCTCGCTAGGGAAGAAGCATGCTTCAGCCACATGCAACCATATTGGAGG